ACTCATCAGAGTAACTATACACAATGCTATATACAAAATTCGCCTTCAAATCAAGTACAGATATAAAAAATGACTGGAAAATGTGTAGTAATGAAAAATCAGTCATGAGATACATCATTTTTTATTCCTCTATTTCTCTATCTTCTTTATATTCTCTTTTAAATGTGTATATTTCAATGTTTTAAATGATTTAGTAAGCTCATTCACTGCATTCTCAGCAGATGAAACATATCAGATAGATATCTCATTCTTATAAATGAGATTCTGAAGAATGTGAAAACAGACCTCTATATACTTTGAGCAGTGTGAAATTGCTTTGAAAGAGAATAGCTCTATGACAGACTTATTATCAGCATAAATCATATAAGTCAGATCATTGACTGTGATGAGAATGAGATGATCATCAGTATTCAGATTATTGAGGTGAAATGAGATGAATTCAGTGTCTTCTAGAAGCTCACAGAGATAGACAAGCTCATATACAGTCTCAGAGAATGCAATATATTCAGCCTCTGTTGATGACTTGAAGACCTCTGTTTACCGGCAGCTCTGTCATGCAACAGGGCCACCTGTTATGTAGATGATATAACTGGTGATTGAACAGGATTCTGAATCTCTACCGGCTCAATCGGCATCTGCGTATGCCACAGGTTCAATTTCAGCATCTCTGTGATAGATTATACTCTCATTGATTGAATTCTGTAGATATCAGAGTGTATACTTGTATACAGCCTAGTTCTTTGATATAGGCTGAGAGCTGAATCATTCAAGAAATTCTGCGGTGAAGCTCATATTAGAATATGTATTGAATGCCAGATATTGCAGAGATCTGATACTGAATTGATAGAATTATAGAGTAAATTCTACTATATATACAATCAATTTCTTATCATCATTCATAAAATCAATATTCTTCTTCATAGAAGTGAATATAGAGTGACAGTCATTTATTAAGAACTTCTTCAGAAGATTTCTTATAAAGAGAAGTTGAAATAATATTAATGAAGTTGAATCTCTATCAATTTTCATTCTCAGATAGTGATTGAAATTCTCTATATTCTTGATCTCATAATTAGCAGCAATTTTAGCTTTAGCTCAGTTCAGATCTTCAATTTTCAGACTGTAGAGACAGACATTATTCATATAGATGATTATATAGATCTATCTTTCATCATGAATAAATAGTTCAGTATTATAAAGACTGATACAGAAGTCTGAGTATTATAGCATCTTTCACAGCTTCTTATATCATAAGAGTGCTGCTTGCTTAAGATTATAGAGTCTCTGCATTAACTCATATATAAGATTATCATGATCTTCATGAAATTCTGTGAGTTGATTCATATATATCTGTTCATCAGCAGATAGTTGAGTGTTTAAAAAAGTGATTATTATATCAATCTGCAGAACATATCATTCTCAGAATACTGAGATTATTATAAGAGCTTGTGAGATAAATACAGAGATAATGAGTGCAAAGATTCTTGAGTAATTAACTCTCTTTTATTAAAGATTTCTACAGATAACTCAGTGAGTCTTATAGTGAATAATCTTACTTATATTATTGAACTTTTTATCAAATACTCATTAACTATGAAGAATACTTATTTATAATATTCTCTCAATCAGTTGTCAGATCTCTATCTGTTTCAAATAGTTAATCTCTTTAACACAGATCTTGTAATAATACTTTCATTTCATGAAAGCTTTGATATGTGTGAGGTTTTTCAGGATTAGAAGTGCAGTAATCTCAGAATCAGTGAGTAAATCTTCAAGACTATCTCTCACTGAAGCTTTCTCTACTGTAGTGATATTTCTCATAGATATCAGAGAATTATCAGATTTAACTGTGAATTTCAGAGAGTTCAGTGTATTCTGCACTAAAAAGATAGATATTCTCACAGAGATATCATAGTCAATTCATCAATTATTAGTGAGTATGAGAAATAATAAACACTCAGGTTGAATTTCCTTATCAATGAATAGATTATCAATTGATGAATCAGAAATCACTGAAGAAATTATTGCAGAAATCATTGCAGAAATTATTGCAGTGAGTAGATCTGATATTGCTGAAGAAATCACTGCAGTTACTTTACAGACTGCATTGAGTAGAATCTTCAGGTTGTGTGAAGTAGTCAGTATTAATGAATTGATAAGATGAAGATTCTTCTGAAAGATGACATCTTTTGATATGTATAAACATTCATTGAAGAGATTCATCAATCTATAATTGATAAAATTATTATATCTCATAAAAATCAACTCTTTGAAACAGGAAGCTATCTTATTTATGAGCTTGAAGACTATCTTCAAGAATGCTTTGCAACTTCATTAGCAAATACTGTGTACAGAAGATAGAGCTTCAAGCCAGGTCTCATATAATATAATGTAATCAGCTTTGTATTTTCAGAGTTCTTATATAATATCATTGAGATTGACATAAGATTAAGCAGCTCTGTGACTGTAATAACTGTCTCATCTCACATCTTTTTCAGAGCTGAAGAGTCTATTAATAGTGATTGAGACTTCTTAATGATTAAACTGATTGATTATTCAGATACTTCATCTTGCTATGAAGTATGAAAGAGAGTCAGCTCTCATTTTATATCTTCACTAAGTATATATACTGTGGCTGCATTTAAATTCAATTCTTTATAATCTGAGTGAATGATTGTAATGCCATATCTCAGCAGATTCTTGATGAATTGATTAAAGATCTGTAGATATCTCATTATCTCATCCTTGCATTTCAATAGAAATATTCATCTCATTTAAGTGACATTATCTGTAATCATCATTGTAAGCTTCTTGTCAGTATAAGATGATATATCATTTTCAGTCTCAAGAGTCTCATCATCACTGAATATATTTACTCAAATCTTCAAGGCCTTGCAGATGATACAACATGGTGTGAAATTCTTATACAAAGTGTATTTCTGTTTAGTCTTGACCCATGTGAAACAGAATGATAATTTTTTCAGACTGATAATAATAATACTAAATCACAGATTTCTGATCATTTTTAATATACTATTTTCACTGATATGATTAAGTTGATAATATCACTCATCTATCTGAAGCTGTTTCAGAAGAACTGCAGATAATTGAGATAGAAATGAGATAATAAAGAAATCAGTATCTGAATTCTTAGAGTTGATTAACTGTTTAATCTTCTCACAGCTGAAAGATCTCAAAGACTCTGTATTCAGATTATAATCTATTGAGATTGTCTTTGATTTCAGAACAGTCATATATGTCACTGCTTCATACATTGAGTCATTCATTATGTCATGAAATGTCAGTGAGCTGTTGAATAGAATGTAAATATTATTGTGAGACAGATTGATATAGAAGATATCACTATTGATAGATAACAGAAACTCAAAGTAGTTCTCAGCATTAACTTGTATATCACAGTGAATATAGCTTTATTATTATTATTATTATTCTTCAATTATAGATGTATGCAGTCAGAGACTATGACATCTACCTAAGAACTAAAAGTTCTCAGGGTTTTTCCTATATCTATACAGTTAACTATTATACATTCGTCAATTTCAGATATGCAAAATCAGAAAATTCTAGCTCAGAATACAAAAACTGTTTACAAATTGCAGTATTTTAACTTCTTCTAATACTTTGAAACCATTTGACATGACAAAAGAAAAGAGAACATAGTCTTAAAGATAGACACATTAAATAGATAGATAGAAAAGAATAGAAAGAAAAAGGTAAAGTAAAATAATGAGAGACTGTAATGAAACAAATTATTGAAAGATAGTATATAGCTGTTTTAACAGACTATATCTGTGTAAGAATAAGTGCTCGCAGGCGATTATTCGGGTGTTTGCAGCTTGGCATGATATGTACTGTTAACTACTAGAAGTGTTTGTGGTAGGAAGATAAATGTAGGGGTCAAATGTATAATAGCATTCAAGCTGAGTTGTGAATAGTATTCATGAACTCCAGTCTATATAGTTGTGTGTAGTCAAGGGCTGCTAGCCCTATTAATTACATGAGAGATAGGAATAGAGGTAAAGAATCTGCAAGAAGTGGGATTTCTTACATACTCCTCTCTCTCTAAGACTTCATCTGTGAAGCCTTTCACTGAGTGACTTTATAGTCAGCTCAGCACTGCAGTGATACTCACTAAAAATCCTTCATATCTATAAAAAACCTCAGTGAGGAAAAATCCCTTATTATCATGAAGAGAAAAGAGTCTGTCACTCAGTTCCTTGTTCTGTGAGGTTCTTTATGACCTACAGATTCTTCTCTGACTATCATACAGATTCATCTCACATCTTTTATACAGAAGGGTTTCAGTTGACTCTCAATCATTTTCACAAGATTCTTGTGTAATCATCACACAGATTCATCTCACAGATGAATCACTCTCTGTGAGATCATTCTCATCAAAGAGAAACATTCATGAGTTAATCTTTCATTCATCCTTGCAAATCATTGCTCTTTAACACTGTAGAATTGTGAGGAATTTTCCATTCTTTCACCAACTCTGTAGAATTGTAGAATCAAGATATTCACAGTCTGCAATCACTCTTTATAGTCACATAGAAAGATTCAGGCCTGTGATTCACAATCACTCTTATTTACTAGAGTGATCTGACTGTTCCACAGGATCATTCACAGTGTAAACAAATCTCTCTAGAGTAGTATAAATATCCCAGATCTGTCTGCAGAATCTCATCTTCTTTTCTCTTTTTCTGTAACAGCTTTCATTCTCACAAACTGTGAGTATTCTCATTCATTCACAAAGTGTTTTCATTCAGATGATAGAGAGAGAGTGTTCCTGACAATGTCTGTATGTTGATTCAAGAACTTCTCAAGAATAAAAATTTTTTCAATTTCAACATCTTTGCAAATAATGTCTGGCTGTCACTGAGCTTCTCATGGATGTCCCCGCGACTTCTCTGATCGCTTTTTGCCAGCTGGTGGAGCAGGGGTGCTGCCGTTCACAACTGTGTCTCCATCCTTCTCAGCCCTGCCACTGCACCCGATCTTCAGGCCAGCGGCCCACCCCATCCCTTCCCCAGGCCAGCCCCTGGCTCTAAGCAGCGCAGTCCCCTCCTTTGCTGTAAGTCTTCTCATAAGTAATTCCTTACAGATTCTAGCTGACAGTTCTTACAAAGCTCTCAGTGTTGCCAGTGCCTCCTGCAGCTCTGCAGGCCTACAATCATCCCTTCTCTGCCTGCACAATCTCTGATCAGGCATATGTGAATATGCCTAGGTTCCCTGTCAATGGTCCTCACACTGTGGCGCATTTCTGCAATCCCATTGTCAATGGGAGATGGGTCCCCGGGTACCCACAAAATCCAGGTAATCAAGGCAATGTGAATGTCATGAATTCATGATGAGAGTTGACCTGAGCAGATGAGCCTTCTCTTCACATTCTCATTGTTTCCAGGCTGGATACTCCAGCATAACTGAGAGAGTGAACACAGCTTTGTAAGAGATATCTGGTCACATGTGCAGGTGACCAGTCTTCAAGACTCTACTGCAACTGCACACACTCTGATGTCTGACTTCTCTGAAGTCTGTGCATTTCTGATGGCCTTCACATCAAATGCAACAATTGTCTGTATCACAGATATGATACTCTCTGCTTCTTTGAAGAGAGAAATTGGTAGTTGTGAGAAGATTAAGTGTCATAAATGTTGATAATGTGAGTGTGAGTTTTCTTTATTTTTTCTTTATTAGTCTCTAAATTGTATTCACAGCTCTGTTTATTTTCTTATTTTTTAACTTTAATGAGAACATGTTTTCTTCTTTTCTTATGTACACTGCAGACTGTTCATCTCAGTAGAAACTCATTATCTTGTAGACTAGGATTCACAAATAACAGTGTTAATGTCTTTATCACAATCAGGTTCTTAGTGAAGATTACATCATTCTGACTTGTTAGAATTCATAGCATGAAAGTCATGTCTCAGCTTCTGCAGATGTCTTATCTACCTGAATAATTCTCAAGTGAACTCATCTATCTTGTCAGAATACTCTTGTCACTGAACCTTGAATCAGAGCTTATAACCTCACTTCTCTGAGTCAATAATTTCTTTGATCTGGTATTCTCTTTCACTCTCTAGTGCTTTGTGAACAGGGTGATAAGTCACAGAGTTCTCTTCTGAGAATTCCTTATATTTATGAAGCAAAGAGATATGAAAAATATTGTACATCTGTAACTCAGATGACAGTTTCAATCTGTAGAACTGTGAGCTAACTTTCTTCACAATCTTGTAAGACCCTGTTCACAAGAGATTCAGCTTCTTACTAGATCTTCACATGATGATGTTTTCTAGACTCAGTCAGACTCTATCATCTTTCTTGAAACTCTTTGCAATGTGCTTGAAGTCATAGTATCTCTTCTGATACTCTTGAGCCTTTCTCAAGAATTCACAGGCTTTCTTCTGAATCTTCTGAATTCTCTCAGCCTGTTCACAGACATTATCACACTCTATAGTGTACTCTCATGGGTTCATCAAGGTTATTCACAGATGAGTCTCAGTGAGCATCTCAAAGAGGGTTTTGTCTATGCTGATATGTTTTAAGTTGTTGTATATAAACTCTGTGAGTGATAATCAATACACTCAGTTATTCTGATTGTAATTAATAAAGTATTACAGATACTGTTTCAATATACTCATCAGATGTTCTGTCTGATCATCTGTCTGTTGATGAAAAGCTGTACTTAGATCTTATGAGATCTTCAGTATAGTTATCAGATTAGATCAGAACTCTTCTGTGAAGATTGATTCTCTGTCTGAGACAATGTTCACAGACAATTCATGCAACTGAATCATATCACAGATAAAGATATGAGTCAAATCCTTTGACTTCAAGTCCTTGTGAGTGAGTATAAAGTGTGCTATCTTAGTGAAGTGATTCACTATCACTAGCACACTGTCAAAGCAGGCATCATATATATTCTTGCTTTCAGAGAGGCTCACAAGAGCATTCATTTCTAGCTGTTCCCAAGGTTTCTGTGAGATGAGTAGAGGAGTAAGTTCTTTATATGACCTGAACTGCACTACCCGCGAACCCTGATAAACAGCACAAGAATTCACTATCTTCTTCACAAGTTCTCACATCTTCAGTCAGAAGTATTTCCTTATAAGCAGCTCATGAGTTCTAGTGTCTGCAAAATGACCTGCTAGAGAAGAGTCATGATATCTTTTGATGAGTTCTACACATAGAAACTCATTCACAGGTATATAAATCTGACCCTCTCTTTGCAAGAGGCTATTTAAGTTCCTTCAATTCTTTATTTCTGCAGAGTTGGTCCCTGCTGTGAGCAGTTTTCAAATATACTGAGTATATTCATTCTTCAGTTGCAGTTCAGACAATCTGAATAGAAGATTTTATAAAGACTTATACTCTGTTTCTTCTTACATCAGGTCTTCCACAGTGCTTCTCAAAGCCTGCAAACTCTTCAGATTATAGATACTCTCTTCAAGAATCCTTGCAGAGATTCTCAGAGTGTTAACTCTCAGTGTTATAGAGAGTAGTTATGCAGGCTTCTTCTCTTTCTCTTCCTTCTTCTCTTGTGAGAAATTGAGAGACTCTTCAGTCAATCTCTTTGTAACACTCAGTCTGAGCATTCTGTGAAGCTTTTCTGTCTTCTCTAGCCTCTCTGTATCTATCACTCTGGCCTTCTTAACATAGTCTGGCCTGTGAGAGGGTTCATTCACTGAGTTCTTAATTCCCTTGATATGTTCTATCTTGAATCAGAACTCACTCAGTCTCTGAGCCCAGTGAACCTGTCACTGCAAGAGTTTCTTAGTTGAAGCAAACTGTTGTAAGCTATCATGATCAGTTCTAACAGTAATCACTGTTGCAAGATTCTTGAAGTAGTAACATCAGTGACAGAAGGATTTCACTATTGTAAGAAGCTTCTGATCATGAATGTCATAGTTGATCTTCATGAGTTGCATCTTTCATGAGAAAAAGGCTACTGAAACTCAGTTCTCATTTGACTGTAGTTGTGAGACTATTTCTGAAATCACAAAGAAGAAGACATCTGTCTTCAATCTGATTAAGAGCAAGAGATCAAAGTAGAACAGTATCACTGTGTCTGTGAATATCTGTTTCAATCTTGCAAAGGCCCTGTAAGCTTCTGAGATAAGAAAGTTCTCACAGTTCTTTCTTCTCAATAATCTTTTCATTCTCTGTTCATGAAATGACTTCTTCTTGTTTTCACCCTTCAGCATGTCTGTAAGGGCCAAGGAGATTCTCACAAACACAAAGATAAATCACCTATAGAAATTCACAAAGCCCAGAAAGATCTGAATCTTATGAATACTAGTTGGCTCTGATCATGATAGAATAGTCTCAATCTGTGAAGATTCCATCTGAATACCATTCACAGTGATTACATATTCTAGGAAATTAATTCAGTGAGCACTGAAGTTGCACTTTATGAGCTTAATATACAGTCCTGCCTCATCTAAGGCCTTCAACACACTTTGCACATGCTCAGTGTGTTCTTCCTTCTTCATGAAGTACATCACCACATCATTCAGATATATTATCATGAAGACATTCAGATATACACAAAGTATTTTATTAATGAAAGACTGGAATGCTGCAGGGGCATTAGTCAGATCAAAAGACACTACTAGATATTCAAACAATCTCAGTGCAGTTCTAAAGATAGTCTTTCATTCATTCTCAGACTGTATTCACAGCTGTGCATATACATTGATCACATTCAGTTGTGTGAATATGACAGCTCCTGTGAGACAGTTGATCACATTCTCAATCAGAGACAGGGAGTAGCAGCTCTTTATTATCTTGAAGTTCAGGTCACAGTAGTCTACACACAATCTGAGACCTTCATCCTTCTTCTTCATGAACATCACAGGGGCTCCCGCGGAGGCCTGTGAAGGTCAGATGAAGCCATTCTTCAGATTCTCCTTCACATAGGTCTGCAAGACCTCTGTCTCATGATGAGAGAGCTTATAAATTGGTTCTCAGAAGGGTTTCTATTCTTCTATCAAATCTATTATCAGATTCTCCTCACAGTGAGAAGGAAGCTCAGCTGCCTTAGCTGGGCTGAACACCTCTGTGAGATCTCAGTATTTCTCTGATATCTGAAGCTCAGTTTTCATGACTGTAAGGTTCTCAGACACTCACAAAGTCATCACATAGATGGGCTTGTCTCCTCTAATCAACTCTGCAGCATCAACTGTTTCTACCTTCATAAGTGAGTCTGTCAACACTGATCAGAAGTATAAACCTGACTTACAGACAGCTATGTGTGAATTGTGTCTTTGAAGTCATGCAAGTCTCAAATACATGTTATCTATGATGTTCATAATAATCACAGTTTCTGCAAATCTTCTCCAGATTTCAGAGAGATCTTGCAATTCAAAGATGATTCTCACAAGTCTCTCAGTTCTCAGGTCTGAGTTCTCACACTCTGCTTATTGCAAGAGCAGGTTCTCAGTCTTCATCTTTCAGCCCATTCACTTCACAAGCTTTAGGGACATCACAGTGACCTGGGATTCTGAGTCTACCAATACTTTTCATGCTTGTGGGGCAGCAGCACCGCAGTGCAGTCTCTTTCCATGAGCAAGCATTTTCATTGAAGAAGTAACAGATTCAGGTGTCAGCTTCAAGACTCTTAAGAAGGCTGTTACTGACTCTGTCTGTGATCTCTTAAATTCCTATTTTAATTTGTCTGGACAGTTTGCATGAAGATATTCTGATTTAGAACAGATAAAGCAGAGTTTCTTTTCCTTGATCTCTCTGTTATACACTCTGTTCACAGAAGCTTGTGAAGCTCTCTCTCTCTACTCAGCAGTCAGACATGAATCTCTCTGTGTCTTGTCATCTTTTTCTGACAAACCTGTTCTCTGTTGTCCTGGCCCTTGCAAGACTGGTTGATGATCTGCTCTCTGTGAGTCTGTGGCTCTCACAGTGATCTGCAAGTGATGAATGAGAGTCATCAGTTTCTTCAAGATCAAGAGCTTAGAGCCTTGCTCAATGAGCTTGTCCTGTATATCTTTATCCAGCTTCTTTGCAAACATCATCATTCAGGTCTTATTTCAGGGCCCTGTTTTCACAGGTCTCAATTTACATCACAATTCCATGAAGTGCTGTGAGTAGTCTTCATCAGATTCCTTGTCTCTTTTTCTAATGTTGATGATTGCAGCCCAGGTGTTCTCTGTCTGGCTTATGAAGTCTCTCAACTTGTTCTCTAGATAGGTCTTGAGAACAGATCATCAGAATCTCTCATGATCATTCTCTAGATAATTCAGTCAGTTCTTGGCTTCAGTGTAATAGAGGCCTGTCATCATGTAGATGACAGCTTCTTCATCTTCCATGTCACACAGCTGGGCTTGTGAGTCAATTT